ACTGCTGTTAAGAGTATAAATTAGTTCAATGACTGTGGGAGACAGTGTGGTGACTCCTCAAAGACCTAAAGACAGAAATACTATTCAACCCCACAATCCCACTGCTGGGTATATACATAAAGGAATATAAATCATTCTACTATAAAGACACATGTATGCATATGTTCACTGCAGTGCTATTCACAATAGCAAAGACATGGAATCAATCCAAATGCCCATCAATGATAGACTGGATAAAGAAAATGTGATATATATATATATATATATATATATATATATACACACACACACCATGGAATACTATGTAGCCATAAAAAAGAATAAGATCATGTCCTTTGCAGGGACATGGATGGAGCTGGAGGCCATAATCTTTAGCAAACTAACCCAGGAACAGAAAACCAAATACTGCATGCCCTCAGTCATAAGCAAGAGCTAAATTATGAGAACACACATAGAGGGGAACAACACGCACTGGGTCCTATCAGATGGCGGATAATTGGAGGGAGAGGATCAGGAAAAATAACTAATGTATACTAGGCTTAAAAAAAATCCCTCAGAAAAATAAAACAGAAACCAGAATTGCTAAATATATTCTCTAGAATGTCCAGTCTTTCACCAAAAAAAAAAAAAAAAAATTAGACATGCAACTCTGAGAAAATTTGAGCATCAAGTAAGTTACACAATCCATTGAAATAGGAAACTATGAATTCAAATTCATGTAAACAAATGGAAAGTGTAATGAGGATCAGGATCTTTACATTGTTTCAAAATACCTCCCCACAAGATACACATTATTACAAATAGAAAAAAAAAAAAAAAAGAGCAGCTTTACATTGCAGAAGGCTGGCTGACAATACCACCCTAATCCAGTGATCAAAGTAAACTGCAAATTGAAATGGTGTGGCACAAGAGAGGATGCAACAACGCTTCTGGGATAATTTTACCAAACACCCATAACATGGACCCAATCATAAAGAATTACCAAACTCAAAATCAGAACATCCTATCAAACAACTGGCTTATAATTCCTAAAGTGTCAAGGCCATAAAAATGAATGAAAGACCAAAGATTTATTGGAAAGTGAAGGAGAATCAAGAGATAAGATAGAGGCAATATTTGATTATTTTGCTATAAAGAACATTATTGGATCATTTGGGAAAATATGAATGAAATCTGAGAAGTATATGTTAGTACTGTATCAATATTAATCATTCCCCAATTTAGATAGTTATATTGTGATTATGCAGAAGAATGCTCTTATTTGAGGAAAATACACACAAAAGGCTTAGGGGTGATACAACATAAGGTCAGCTACTCACACAATGGTTCAGAAAAAAATTGTACCGAGAAGACAATTTTTCTCTAAATTTGAGATTGTTTCAAAATTTAAAATAAAATCAGTAAGTAATCTCCAATCCACTCCACTGCACCTGTGGGTAGCAGAATAATGGCCTGTCAAAGATATCCATATTCTAACACCCAGAACCTGGGGATGTGTTATTTTAAAAGGCAAAAAAGATGTAAAGATGTGATTAGATTAAGAGTTTCAAGATGGGAGGCAGGCTATCATGGATTTTCCAAGTGGACTGAATGCAATCACAAGCATCTTTATAAGTGAAAGGAGGAGGCAGGAAAGTCAGAGAAGCAGATTTGAGGACAGAAGCAGAGGTGAGAGTGATATAATTGCTGGGGATCAGGAGCTAAGGATTGTGGGCAGCATCTAGATGCTAGAAAAGGCAAGGAAACAAACTCTCCCCCAGAGCCTCCAGAAAGGAGCTCATCCTGCCAACATCTTGTGGTTACCCCGCTAGATCCACTTTTTACTTCTGACCTCCAAAACTGTAAGATAATCATTTTGCGTTGTTTCAAATCACTGCATTTGTGGTAGTTTGTTAAAGCAACAATAGCAAACTCATAGAACTCCTTAGGAAAGAAATGTCAGGTATTTCTTTTAAGGCAAAAAGTGATTATGTAAAAGTATGATAAATCTCAGTAAAGACTGCAGAATGAAAGCATCACCTATGTAGCACATGAAATAGTTTTCCTTGCAGCTGGTAAAAGAATCTTTTGTGGGGAGAGGCTTGATTTCTAGAGAATGAACATGGGTCGAGATGCACACTGTTGATCTGACAAGCTGACTCCATGATTTCTGTTATCAGTCTTCTTTTTGCTGGGGACAATAAACAATCTCACAGTATCAGTGGTTTAAACTCCAAACGTTTATTTCTTACTTTTGAGTATTGGCTGTGGTTCTGCTGAGTCCGGCAGGGTTCCTCTTATCAGCTGGGCTTAATTCAGACATGACCCATCTGTGTCTCATTGGGAGACCAAGGCTGGAGAAGTAGCTGCTATCTAAACATGCTCTCCTTGGAGAGGATGGCAAGAGTGCAAGAGGGTGATGGGCTTTGACAGGAAAAAAAAAAAAAAAAAAAGGCAACCTGTCACTTCCACTTACCTTTGAAAACTTAAAAAAATGTGACCTTTCTTTGACAGAGGCTTGTGTCAAAGCACATGGTTTAGTCAGTATCACTCCCTCCACAAGGGTGCTCTAAATCTGCACCACTTTATGCCGTAACTCTAAGTTGGTTAGGGGAAGAGATCATTCATGGAAGAAATGTATTCCTCCCAGCTGTCCACATGAGTGAGAAAAGTAGTCTACTTATATGGTTGCTTAAAGGAAGTGTACATGTTTACCTAAAGTTGGGTATGTATTAAATAGTTTTCTGTTGTTAAACTTCTTAAAGGAAAAGTAAATGTTCTCTGTTTTAGATATTACCAGACACACTAAAAAGTAATTCATAATTTGACAATATTCTAAGAATTGAAATACTTGAGAGAATTCACAAAAATGTTCCTAGAGAGGTAACAGTAATGGAGAAGCAGAGCTGGCAAAATCAGATCAAATATCTGTGCACTGCATCTGCACTACAGCATACCATTTTAGAGTACACATTTTCCCCAAAGAGAAGTCAACACAAATTCGATTATAAGATACACAAAGTTCTTCATTCCACCTAATCTACTTTTTTTTCTTTTTATGACAAGGTCAAGCTGGAGTATAGTGGCAAAATCACAGCTCACTGAGGCCTCGACCTCCTAGGCTCAAGCAATCCTCCCACTTCAGCAGGAGTCTCCTGAGTAGGTGAGACTACCAGCATGTGCCACCATGCTTGACGAGTTTTTACATTTTTTGTAGAGATGGGATGTCATTATGTTGCCCAAGCTGGTCTCAAACTTCTGGGCTTCAATGATCCTCCCACCACAGCCACGTAAAGTGTTAGGATTACAGGTGTGAGCCAACGTGCCAAGCCTAATTTTTTATTAGATGTACTATGTCAAAATTCCACCTACCCTTCAGAACCTGGTTAAAATCTCATTTACCTCGCCAATGTTAACCTTGTGGTGACTTCTTCTCTCCTCTGATTCTTGGGTGTTTTGCTTCTGCCTCTATTACGAACTTTTTATTATGGTTGAGTAAGTTTTGGAGACCTAGAGAAACCCTACTTATTCTATGATCCCAGCCAAAAAGTTCCTTTTTAGCTGAAATCACCCCTGACCCTCCCTACTCTAGTTAGTTACCACTCCCTCCTTTTCTGCTAATGACGAAGGTACATTACACCTGTTCTAACTCTCATTTACTTACCTTCTAAAAAGACTGGGCGGGGGGAAACTAAACATTTGTGAGTTCATTTAAGACAGAGTATATAAAAACATCTTTTTCATCTTTGGTCCCCAGCATATAATATAGAATCTAGGTCAGAGTTCTCAGCCTTGAAACTGTTGACATTTGGGGCCAGACAATTATTTGTTGTGGGGACTGTCCCATGCATGATAGGATATTTAGCAGTATTGATTTTCAGTCTTGACAACCAAAAATCTCAGCAGACATTGCCAAATATCCCCTGGGGTCAAAATTGCTCCCAGTTAAGAATCACTGATTGCAACCATAGCAGAAATTAAATGTTCTTTGACTTGAAGTCAGGATTGTCTGGGGTTTTTTCCCCTCCATTTTAGCTCTTCAACATCACCTAGCACTAGAAGAAAGTGAAACAAACATACTTAAATAAAAGAGTGATTTAAACAAGTTTCAAATTAAAAGAAAATCTTCCTTCTGAGCCATTAAAAATAGAGCCTACAAGGATGACATACATTCATTCATGAGAGAAGTGACATGGCATATTGGTTTACGGTATGAATTCTAGCATGGGACTGGCTAGATTCAAATCCAGAGAGCATGGGTTTATACACCAGCTCCCAGTGTTCTAGCTCAGTAACCTCAAGCAAGTCATTGAACCATGTTGCACCTCAATGTTCTCATCTTAAAATGAGGATATAAATACTTCCTACCTCAACAAGACTATGCAAAGATCATGAGGTAAGATACATAAGGTTACTGGAACAGGGCCCGACAAGTATCACTTATTATTTAGCAAATTGAATATCTACTATATACCAGGTGTTTTACAAGTAGTAGGGAACAAAAAGTTCAAGCCCTCATGGAGCTTTAATTCCAAGATACGAGAAGAGTAGAGAGTGGTGCATTGTAAGTGACAGAATGACAGAGCAGCGACTGAGGTCCCATGAGGAGTTGTCCTAGGCAATAGCTAAAGGAAAAAGGGTCTTATTGGGAACTGTTCTGAAGCCAGACCACACTTGATGTGTTCAAGCTATAGCAAAGAGCACAGTGAAAACTGAACAATGTATTGTTTTTTCAAGAAGAAAAATGTAAAATTGGAAATTCTCTTTGAGAAAAAAAAAAAATCTAAGCAAATTTTAAAATACTACAAAATATGCCAAAAATTTAACAAGTGTTTTGTTTGCGTAATGAGACTTTGAGTGATGCATTTTCTTTTTTTCTTTTCTGTAATACCCAAGTTTTCTGAATATATATTATAGTACTGCAGTGTTTCTAAAAAATCAAAAAGGCTTTACCAGTGAAAATACTTGTAAATAAAAGATAATTTTGATTTATACGGGATTATTTATAATGTTTTCCTTCATTTTGTAGCTGAAATGTATTTTTATTTTATTTAAATATTTTAATGCATGCCTAACACAGTTTACTCATTATTATTCCATTCAATATTTTGACACAAATTTTTTTCTGCCTATATGTTGAACACAAATTATATCTTTTTGGCTGATGGTTCACAATATAGATGTTTATCTTTTAAAATTTCTTCATGTCTTCTAATGTGAAAAAAAAAAAAATCCCATCCATTTAACAAACTTTTCTTCAACTGGGTAGTCAGCAAAAATGTTAAAATAGTTCACTTAATGGTTCTTTCAAAATATATTTTTCCAATTCAAGGAAGCAGCAAAGAAATTGTAGAAATGGGTTCCATATCTAGGAAACAAATGATATTTATAATGTCTTTACTTATGTCTAAATATTTCCATTTCTACATGTACTTCTTAAATTATATGCCTCAGCTACGACACAATTATAATTTAGAATTTCTATATCTAATAGTAATTTTTTAAATGATTAAGTTGTCCCTTTTGAATTTGACATAAATATAACCTTTTACATTCACCATTTTTGCAACATCTTTTGGTAATTTTCTTGACACAATAAATCTATGCTTTAAAACATTAAGATTAACATTTCACTATGAACTGTAAACAAAGCTTGCCAAAATAAAATGATTGAGCCTGGTTTTAAATGTCTACCCTCAAGAGGCACTCAAAATGCAGCAATGATTTTTCTGTAGTTTCTACTGCTTTAGTTCCCTTAAGAAACGAAGTGTAAATCACAGAAATTCTTCACTTCTTAGAGCTGCAGAGACATTTAAAAGAGAGAGAGAGATGCAGGAGAAGAGGAAATAAGAGTGTACATTAAGAGTAATTCAGAGGGCCAGGCACAGTGGCTCACGCTTGTAATTCCAGCACTTTGGGAGACCGAGGTTGGCAGATCATCTGAGGTCAGGAGTTCGAGACCAGCCTGGCAAACATGGTGAAACCCCATAAAAATACAAAAATTAGTAGGGCATGGTGGTAGATGCCTGTAATCCCAACCACTTGGGAGGCTGAGGCAGGAAAATTGCTTGAACCCGGGAGGCAGAAATTGCAGTGAGTTGAGATTGCATCACTGCACTCTGGCCTGGGTGACAGAGTGAGACTCCATCTCAAAAACAAAACAAAACAAAACAAACAAAAAAAAGGATAATTCAGAGAAATTCTCCCTCAAGTTTATTCACCTGGAATTGATAGGACCAAACATTGTTATAAGCATTATCACTATAGATTTGTGGGGATGGAGGATGGAGAGGGCTTGAATAATTGTGAATTTATATGATCTCCTATTGCCTACACACTCCTTCTATGTCCTTTTTATTTTCTTCCATTTTACACTGGGGGTGAATTGTAGTGCAGGAGTCTGCTAGTGAATACAGAGGAGAGTTCTAAAAGTTTCTCTCATCCAATAAAGCAAGTCAGTGTAAAACATACTTGTCAATAAAAACTATTTTTTACAGACCTAAATAACTGTATACGTTCTTGAAAATGAATAACAAAATTTTATTTTAGTTGATGCACAGTAAATTCTTTACAAATATTGTTTTGTTTTAAATTTTATATAATTATTTGGTATATCTTATATCAACTACTATCAACACTGCTTATTTAATGTATTTTTACAATAAAATTAAAATTTTAATGATAGCTTTTCATCTATTAAAATGTCTATATATGTGCAAAAATTTTGTTTTTTATAGCTAGACATGAGACAATGGATTAAAAAATGATCTTAATCGTTAAGCATATTTTTACATTACATCTTTACATTTTCAGCCAACACAATGTCGGAATATTTTAAACACAAATATTATTTAGAATAGTTCTTAAAAATATTTGACATTTCAAAATAATACAAAATTTCATTTTAAAATTAAATGTTACTTAAGAAAGTTGTTTCCTTTCCTAAAAAATTAACAAACGAAAAGCAAGGAAAAAACCCTAATCCAGTTAGCAATCTTCTTACCTTCCTTTAGTCACATGTAGTGCCAAGAATAAGGTGTCTATTTAACATGTTTCTTCTTTCCATGACTTGCAGTGAATTGTGGATATCTATCCATAAAGGAAATTATGTGTGAATGCCAACATGCATAGAAATTTAATTCCTAACATATAAGTATCAAATCAAAACCTTAGACACCAGCCAATGCCGTCCCAAGAATGTAACACACTTGAGGACAAGCTTCCTCTTGAGCCAACTCTGTCAACAGACACCACTTTTATTTCATGTACTCCCATTCTCTGGCACCTCTTTTCTTCCTGCTATCACAAATACGATTTTTTTAAAAGCCACTATTAAGGTAGTAAAAATGGCTTTAATTTATACTTGGTGTATTCATTTGCTAGGGGTGCCATAACAAAACACCACAAATGGGGTGGGTTAAACAGAAACTAATTTTCTCATGGTTCTATCGGCTGCACATTTATTGAGGTGCCAGTGGGGTAGGCTTTCTCTGAGGTCCTTAAGGGAAAATCTGTCCCAGGCATTTATTTGCCTTTTAGATAACTGTTCTTTAGATTAGTGATCCCAGGGCACCAGGGACCAGCGTTGGGGAAGACAATTTTTTCACAGAAGTTGAGGGACAGGGGTGTTTCAGGATGAAACTGTTCCACCTGAGATCATCAAGCATTAGTTAGATTCTCATAAGGAGATCACAAACTAGATGCCATGCAAAGCGGTTCACAAGAGGGTTCGCGCTCCTATAAGAACCCAATGCCTCTGCTGATCTGATGGGAGGCAGAGCTCAGGTGGCATTGCTTGCTGGCCTGCGGCTCACCTCCTGTTGTGCTGCCCGGTTCCTAACAGGTCTGGTCCATGGCCCAGGGGTTAGGGACCCCTGCTTGAGGAGACTGCCCTTTAGATGACTGGCTTTTTCATATACATCATCCCTCTGAGCACAAGCACCCCAGTGTCTCTCTGCATGTTCTAACCTCCCGTTTTCATAAGGACCCAGGTTAGATATTAAATTAGGACCCACCCTAATGTCCTCACTTTAACTTAATCACCGCTTTAAAGGCTCTATCTCCAAAAATGGTCACGTTCACAGGTACTAGGCCATGGGCTTTCATGTGTGAATTTTAGGGGGAAATTCAGCTCACAGCACTCAGGTTTAATAGTAAATTAACAAAGTGAAGACAATTAACTCAGTCAGGGACTGAAACACATCCAGTGATGAATATACTTTTTCTCCATGACAGAAAAAAGCCATATGGCTTCTGAATTTTAATGTGAGAAATGAAGAAATGCATGGGTTATGGCTAACCATAAAAAAAATACTTAAATATAATTCCTTCATTTGAAAGTGTTTCACTAATTTTTTAAAACTATATAAGGAATATTATCTATGCTTCCACTTTACTAAGCCATAGAATCTATGTAGATTCTACATAGAGAGTCAACAAATGATGCTACGAAGCAGCACATGCTTGAGTACGTTAGATAGGCAACAGCTACTTGAGCAACAAAAGTCACAATTAGAGAAAGCTTAGTTCCCACTGCAAAAGAGAGGCAAATACTGCAAAAGAACAAGGGGAATTAGACTGTAGTTTTGAAGAGTCACTTGCAATTTTTATTAAATGCTGATCATTTCCACATCCTAGAGGTAATTGCTTAATTATTAGGAAGTTGCTGCTCTTCCCTTTCACCTCTTTGAAAAAAAAGAAAAAAATATGTGATTCTCTTAGAATTTTCAACATTGAAAAAGTAAATCGATTAAGAGGACAAAAACTTCATGGTCAATATGTTTTTATTTTTAAATTAATGATGGAGAAATCTACAAAAAGAATTTTCTGTTCTAAAACCATTTGGGGTAGATAAAGGAAGATTGTAAGATTTCTTTCTCATCAAACTATCCAATAATGCCTTCATAAGACTTGCTTACATAGATGTAAATAAATTTTAATATACAAGTACTGTTTTTGACCAATAGATACATTACTAAACAGATACATGTGTCTTGCAGTTTCATATACCTAAGCTTTTTAAGTGATGGAAAAAAATTTGTACATAAAAGAAACATTAGGGATCCCTTTTATAGAGTGAAGAATCCTTTTGTAGTTTGGATATTCACCAAAAATTTACGTGTTTATTTCATTTAAGTTTTTATGCATATGATCTGCTTAAACCAAAGTAAAACAAAGTACACATGTTCCATATTACAAAGATGAAAATACTATATTTATTCAATCATGGTTCATACATTTAATAGAATAAAAATTCTTTTGTGTCTAAAGTTAAATTAAGACTAAACATCTTTATCTGTATGTGATTATTTTTCTTCCTTCCCACCTATGCTTTTCATATGGAATTAATGATTAACAAGTATTCCTAAAATGTGAATAAAGCAGTGAAAGAAGAAGAATAAAAACTGAAAAAAATACCTACTTATAATTTTAAATTGCTCTTAAAATAAAATTATAGAGAAAATACCTTGTATGCTATTTAACTTCATTAAGCTATAAATTAAGTTAGCTATAAATTATCTAGAAGTTAAATTCATTAGCTATAAATTAAATTTCTCTACATCATATCTAATTTTCTCATTAACTATTAAAAATCCGAACTTCGTATTCATACATGAAAATAGTTTTTCTTTTGGGTGTAAATAGAGTGTACTTTAGAATTCTGAACACTTATCAAACTAAAGTTGGCTAATGAAATGTTAACAATAATATTCAAAACATGAATAAAATCCATACATTAATATCTAAGGCAATGAAAGGCTTTGTGTGGATGAATCATCTTTTGTCCAACTCTATCACCTTTTGTTTTTTAATGGCTATGTTACAAGTGTCTAAATCCCTGTCCTGGCAAACTTCCACTGCTCGTGCCTCTGGTAGTTTATTTGCATATTCAGCCCATCTGTAGCCCTTATATTGATTGAACTCACAAACAGAGAAAATCAAGAATCCCTGCACAGATTTGTATGTGGTTGCCCCTACTTTTGAGCCTATTCCAGGCTTGTACTTTGGGGTTTAGGCTTTAATCCTTATAATCAAACCCCACACAGTTGTTAAAAGACATGCAGTATCACTTACATAGTAAAACCATTGAAATAAGCATATTCCTCAGCTGTGAATCCACAAATATCTTGGCAAGATAATTCCACACCTTGCTGAAGAAGAAGCTTTACTAAACGTGTTGGTTCATCACTGACAGCAAGAATAAGGGCTGTTCTGGAGCAAGAAATAGAAACGAATGCCCATTTAAAGATCTTAAACATGCCTCATTTTTAAAAGTCAGTCTTCTCAATTTACTACTCAAATGTAGGACCTCTATCAGAAAGAGTCAAGGCAAGAATGTAAATAGTACAGCAGATCTGCTCAAAAAAGTGTGCCAGTCACAGATCATATCATGGAGTCTAAACATGAACAGTACCTAGGAAGCAGCTAGCTCAGACATTTTCAATCTCTTCTTCCTGGAAGCGTAGTGTTTTCAAAAACATGTCTCAAAATTCCATGAAGGAATGTGTCTTAGGACTTTGGGTCCGCTGATCCCATTTAACTACAACAGTTGGTCATCTATGTAAGAGTCTAACGTTAAATTCTAATAATAAATGATAAATAAATAACAACAATAATAACCAATTAGTAGTTGGTCCAACTGTTTGATTTTACAATGGGAAAAACAAATCCTGAAAGTTTAGATAATCTGTCCAAAAGCATGTGAGCATACATCCTATGGGTCTTATGGTTCTATATTTTCTCATTATCATATACCTGTGTTTTGTGGACATACACACACACACACATACACACACACACACACAATGCTATCACATAGCTCTAGTTATGTGCTATCTTATTTATTAATTATACCTTTGATAATTATCTGAAGCATTCACATCAGCCCCTTTCTCCAGAAGAAATTTTACCATTTTTGGATTATTGTTAATAACGGCAACCAACAGTGGAGTATAACCATCCTGAAAAAATTATTTCAAAATGATTAAAATATTGTAGCAAATTTTCATGCTCTTTAGATTTAAGTTCAACTTAAAATACGTGTGTATAAAAACTTCTGAATATACACTGTAACCCTTAAAAGATTTTAGTACATAAAAAAATGTGATTTCAAAGACCAATAAAACAAATCTGGGTTGAGCCAGACAAAAAATTAAAGTTGCTATTTTAGGCTTATTTCAAATTGTAGGTAAGAGCAGCCTAGAATAAGTAAGTGATGAGCACCTAGCATTTAATGTAAGTATTGCATACCATCAATTCACACTTCATAATATTGTCATATTCAGATTTCCACTGGGTTTCATTTAAACCTCCAAGGCTGGCACTTATTTTGGATGTCATGTAGACAAAACATCAGTAAAGTATCAATATGCTTTTTAAAAAAATTCATCGGTTATTCATAATGCCTTAATGGAAGAGTTAGATTAATTTTAATATTATGTGATTTGCTATTTCAACCCTATTATTATTATTCATGAGTATATCAATAAAATAGAAAAAAGGTGGGTTTTATATTTTTATCAATACCCAGTTATAAGAGAATTAAATATTCCTCATTTGTTATGGCCTGTTAAACAATTATAATTGTTAAATATAGTGTTTCTTTGGAGGTCAGGATTACAATCTGCAATAAAATAAAGAAAGACTTTAAGAGAAGAAAAATTTTATCAGTTTTTGATAATCTCTTCTCATTCTCCCCAATTTCAGTTTGGAAAATTCATTCTTTATATAACATATATTTCAACATAGATGAATTATCTGAAATATACTCTTCAGTTGCTTTCTAAAATATAGGATTTTTTTCTTTAATAGAAAACTACCTTATTTTTCGCTTCAAGATCAGCTTCGTAATCAAGCAGTTGTTCAACTAATGAGAAACTCTGACCACAAACAGCATAGTGAAGAGCAGTATTATAACGAATATCCCTCAGATTTGGGTCTGCACCACAGTTTAGAAGAATAGTAGCACAATCCTCATTTTGACACTGTACCGCCTGTTAATGCAACAAGAGTAGATGAGTAACAAATTTACTATTTGGGATATGATAAATTAATGTTTGATACTATGTTTTAAAACATGAAAAATCAACAAAAGTTAACTAGGAGAACTCAAACACATTCCAACTGAAAAAGAAAAATTATGGCATACCTTAATCAATGGGGATTTGTTTTCACTATCCCGGATATTTATTTTGCATTGTTGCTCAATTAGGAAAAGTACAACATCTCTATGTCCATTCGCACAGGCCAGGTGCAAAGGTGTTCTATGTCAATAAAACAAAACACAAAGTTAGAGATAAGTCTCCGTTTGAGAAGTTACTTATTTTACTCAAAAACAAGCCAGATTGTACATTGGTAAAGTACTTGCTGCATGCACATATTTCTATTTAAACAAATGTACATTAATTACAATTACCTTTTATTGAACTTTCAGGGCTATGCAAGTGTGTTGAAGATTAAATATTTAACTGATTTCACTTCAAGGAAAATGTAACTAATTAGATGAAAAATAGATTTTTAAAAAAGTACCAAAATGATGTCTGGGCTTGGAAAAGATAATAAAGTTAGGTATCACAATAAAATTTAGAAATTATATTTAAAACCTGAGATGCATCTAATAGGTAACAGGAGGAAAGTATATTAATCAATGACATGCTATCTCTAATTGTGTGTTTTTCTTTATTTACTCAGTGATTACAGTTGGCATTTGTATCTGAGAAGTAAAAGGTGAATGCCTAAGGACTCTCTAAGTTGTAGATCTTAACCCTATTTTAAGTTATTACACTAATTTCCACTTCTAAAGAACCGTATTCTAGGTAGCCTGCCAGAAACCAGACACACATTCATGAACTTTGACAGAAGACTAATTAGAGCCATTTAAATTTTGCAATTTTTAGCCTGGACTGGCCCTCAATAAACATTTATCGTCTTCTAAGGTGATATCATTATAGCCTTGTTTTTAGATAATTTTATAATACCAAGGCCACATATAAATAATCCATTTAAAACAAGAAGCTTAAATATATTTTCCTTGTTTCACTCTAGCTCCTCGGAAGTACTCTATGGATACCTAAATAGACCCGCTATTGACACACAGGAGTAGCAAAAAGATGAACCTCAAAAATAAGATAACTACTTAAAAATAAGGCAATTTTCAAAAAGATAAACTAACAAAACCTATTCACAATAACTTACCATCTCTGGCAGTAAACCAAGAAAATATAAAAACAGTTCGAAAAAATTGGAGAAAGCTAAAAATCTAATTAAGTTTACCTGAATGTAATCTCTGGAAGGCAGGACTGTAATATAACTACAATATAAAAAGCTAAATTTTAACCAATTATATTATTATTTAGCTAAAGAGAGAGCACAGTCAGGAAGAGGACAGTCAGCTAACATAACAGAATAAAACCAGAAGTTATCCATAATTAACATACTTCATGGAAAAGATAATCTGAATTTAAGGAACAAACAAAGAAGAACTTTGTTGTAGGACAAAAGTGATTCATCAAACACCATGGTCTAAATTATGTTTCCCTCAAAACTATCCACCTTACTTTACTGTGATTCCATCCTTACCAGGCATTTCTGATGACTAATTTCTCAGTAATCCTGATACAATGAAGCATTGATTAACCTTTCTGCTCACATTTACAATTTGGTTTAAGGATGAAATTCCTTATGTAATTGGAGTTTTCAGAGCCCTCAATCCCAACACAACACAGGGCTAAATAGCTTTAAGCCCACCAATGATAAGTCTTTGCAGTAGATAGCAAATCCTGGCAAACATTTTGATGTGTCCCCTTCATCTGCCATTACACCTATCTTGAGAATTTAGTTCCAAGGAACTTTGGTGGTTTCCACCCAATTTTTAGATCTGCCTCTCCCTCCAACTCCAGTTTTATTTTTTACCTAATTTAAAATAAATACATAAAATTACATACACACACACACACACACACACAGAGAGAGAGAGAGAGAGAGACAGAGAGAGAGAGAGAGACTGTTCTTACTAAGAGAAAGTAAATGGATTCCCAATAGGTCCTCCAAAAATAGCTGCTGCATGCTGCTGTATACCTCACTCTTCTACCAACTGAATCTAAAACCTTCAGTAACAAATCTACAAAAAAATTTCATGGCCCATATTAAACTCCAAGAACTTAGGAAATCAGCCATAAATTCAATAAAATAAAATAGCCTTGAAAGATTCCACCTTCAAAGGAGGTATTGAACAATGCAGCCTGGGGTCATTTATACAAAATCTGAAAACAAGAGCTAATCTAGCTTGAGCATGCACAAAATACTAAAAAGTTGACAATATTCGCTCAAACTGTCAGTCTTGTAAAGAAGATTTTTACTTAGAATATTTGACATCCTTTTAAAGCAGTTATCTTAGTTTAAAAAAAAATTTTTAAAACATACAGATTTAACATTTACATTGATTTTATTTTAAATTTTAGATTTAAGTGTAAAATTTTAGAGCTCACAATTGGAGCAAGCAGCAAAAAAAAAAAAAAAATTGTCATGGCCACTTCTCTATATGTTTACACATATAATGTAAATGCCTCAAGGCCAATAGGAATGCTTTTCCACTTAATGTCAAAAACAAAGGCCATTCTATTTTTTGAAATAGTTGAATGCAAAAAGTATATTTACAGATATCTTGGAGAAACATTTTTAAATCAATATTATTCCATTTGTCAAAAATCCTTAACTTTCATCAATACATTATACTCCAAATTTAAGAGTTTAGTTTATATTGTTACTTTTTAACTCATGGTACTTAATCTAACTAGAAATCTAAATTCCTGTGAAGCTTAGTATTGGTTACTAGGTTTTCAGGCTAACTGGTGTCATTTTGTTTCATTCAAGTTCTGTTTTCTCCCAGACTCCCACTCTCTTTTATATCAATGGAAAAATTGTCAGCATAGACTGTGGACAGGTGATGAATGATCAGATACCAGAAATCTCAAATTGAACTTCAGCAAAAGGCATGACTCAGATGAGTGTCAAGGCTGAATGATTACTTTGAAAGCTGAAGTGAAAAGTGTTATCTGCTAGACAGAGTACAGGGTCAGAGCATAGCTGTAGCCTTCAATTGAGTCTCATCATGAGAATGTCCTTTTTAAGTAATATTCTTGGACTCTTGATAACTTAAGAGTTCAGGGTGAGTGAAGGAGAAGTAACCAAGGAAGCTAACTCACCCTAGGTCATTTATTTTCAACTCTAGACTGGGCACTTTCGATGTAATCTAGGTTTGAGTAGTAAGGTTGAAGGTATTAATTTAGAATTGGGCCTCCACTCACCAATTTATGAAGGTGATCTGAAGGGCTTTTTTATTAAAAACCATAAAAGTGATTTTATAGCAGGAGAGATATTAAACATCTCCAATTCATTTTCAAACTTATTAGGCACAGTGCTCTTGAAATAAAAACAAAAATAGAAGCTAACTATGCAGAGCACATTAACAGGGAGCTATTCTGATTTAATAAGATGTTTGTAACAGAGCTTTGAAGATCTTTGTTTAAAAAACACTAATTGAGTAGTAGCTCTAGTTTGAAACATGAGACTGAAGGTATCTCTGCATTATACAGATGTAGAGAAGGCCTCAAACTCAGATCTTGACTCTCAGAACAATGTTTTTCCTACTAGGCCACTATGGCTTCCTGAACGATCTGCTTATGCTATTTCCCCTGTCCCTTTTTTTTTTTTAACCAGAAATTCCAATTTTCAGTATCATTATTTTTACTAGAAAACATATATAAAAATACTACTTCATTAGGCCATTAATATGCACATATGTTTCAGAGACCTTAAGCACAATGCTTCCAAAATGAGTCTGTGAAACATTTGATAAAACATTGTAATTTACCTCATTAAAAATTCAAACAAAACGAATAGTTCCCAATGACCATCTCACTCTATCTACTTTCCTCTCCCCACATTTCATCTCTTTCAGAAATAGCAATTTAAGTATATGTTCTTTAAGATTTTATCTTTCTCATTTTCGGTATCTCTCTCTTTACACACACACACCCAAATGTTCAAACAGAAATATACAGTTTGAGATTTTTTCATTCAGCTTTATTGAGGTGTAATTTATAATAAAATTAAAGTATACAATTTTATGAATTTTGACTAGTCAATTTACAGTCAATTCTCTGCAGTCAATTCTTTCACCTGCCCCTATATCTAAAACCACTGGTAACTATTAATTTGCATTATGTCACTATCCTTTTTTTTAGATTCGGGGTGTACATATGTAGGTTTGTTACATGGGTATCTTGCATAATGCTGCGCTTCTGCTGAACTCATTACCCAAATAGTGAACATAGTATCTTATAGGTAGTTTTTCAACTCTCATGACCATCCTAGACATTCCCCCATTTGGAGACCCTAGTGTCCATTATTTCCACATTTGTGTCCATGTGATAGAGATAATTTCATATCCTCTTTGACAATTTTGGATGCCTTTTCTTTCTTTTGCCTGATTTTTCTGGCTAGGACTTCCAGTACTACGTTGGATAGGAGTGGTGAGAGCAGACATCTTTGCCTTATTCCAGTTCTTAGGAGGAATGCTTTCAACTTTTTCACATTCAGTATGATGTTGGCTGTGTGTTTGTCATAGATGGTCCTTATTATTTTGAGGTATATTTCTTCGATGCCTAGTTTGTTGAGGGTTTTTATCATGAAGGGATGTTGGATTTTATCAATGCTTTTCCTGCAACTATTGAGATGATCATCTGGTTTTTGCTTTTAATTCTGTTTATGTGGTGAATCACATTTATTGATTTGCATATGTTGAACCATCCTTGTATACCTGGAGTAAAACCCACTTGATTGTGTTGAATTATCTTTTTGATGTACTGCTGGATTTGGTTTGCCAGTATTTTTGTGTCTATGTTCATCAGGAATATTGGACTGTAGTTTTCTTTTTTTCATTGTTTCCTGTATGCTACAATGCTTTACCTTTTCTAAAATTTCATGTAAATGGAGTCATTTGTGTCTGGTTTCTTTCAGTCAGCATGACACTTTCAAGATTCACCCATATTTTTTGCATATATCCATAATTCATTGCATTTATTGCTGAATAGTATCTTTAAGTTATCCTATTTATATGTGCATGTATGTATTCATCCTTTCATTCACGTATTTTAAAAATATTGAGCACTTACTACAGCTAGGCAGGGTTCTAGCTGATGAGGATATATCAGCAAACAAAGTATGTGCAAATACCTGCTTTTATAAATCATACATGTTAGTAGAAGAGGTAAACAACAAACAATTGAAAAGATGAAAAGTATATCAGACAATATTAAGTTCTAAAGAGAAAAGCAGGGAAGAAGGATAGGAAATGTCAGTGAGGAGAAAGGGTACAATTGTAGGTAAAGAGTAGCCAGGGAAGGCCTCACTAGTAAGGTACCAATTGAATAACACCTAAAGGAAGTGAAAGAGCAAGTCATACGACTATCTGAGGGAAAAGCACCCAAGGCAAAGGGACCAGCAAGTTCAAAAACCCTAAATGCATGTCTTGCATTTCTGTGGAACAGTAAGAAGACCAGTGTAGCTGGAGGTAAATGAATGAAAGGAAGAGTTGCAGGAGGTAAGATCAGAGAAGTAACAGGGTGAGGATGAAGATCATATAGGGTTGTATGAGACACTGGATGGATCTGGCTTTTACCCCTAATAAGATGGGAAGTGATTCTAAGTTATGAAAACAAGGAGTAATATCATTTGACATACATTACACAGGATCATTGTGACTGTTGTACTGAGAATAAGCTGAAAAGGGAAAAGTGTAGTTAAGTGGGCACTGTAGTAATTCTAGTTAAGACATAATGGTGGCTTTGACTATGGTAGTACTTATAAAGGTGGTAAGAAATGCTTGGATGTTAGATATATTTTGAAGGAGGAGCCAACAAGATTTCCTGTTTAATCAAATGAAGGATGTGAAGGAATTAGAGGAATCAAAAATATTCTAGAATTTCAGCCTAAAGCAATTGAAAGACAACATTTGGCATTTATAGAAAAAGAAAAGGCAGGTCAGAAATGAAATAACAGGATCTTAGTTTGGGAATGTTTGAGACCTCAGTTTGAGAAAGCTAAGTAGTGATGGGATGGAGCTCGTGGTTCTTGCAAGCTAACTGTTAAATTTTCAGGAATTTTGCAAGCCAGTTGATATCACACTGGTAGCTTAAAATTGGCCACTATTTACAAACCCTATGAATCAGGGTTTTCCCTCTTTCCCTCCCCTACCCATTAAGGGCCTGTTATTAAACATTTATTAGCACACCAGTGAATATTAGATATCCAAGTATAAATATAGGCAGGCAAGAGGTCTTGTTGGCTGGAGATTAAAAGTTGGAAGGCACTGGAATATATATACTTAAAGCTAATCTCTCTTCACCAGGAGAGTGAAGATCAAAATGCAGAGAGAAATAATTTCTGGTGGAACTCCTTAAGTGTTTACAAGTCAGGAAGATGAAGAGAAACCAGCAAAGGAGTCTCAAAAGAAGTGTCCACAGAATTAGGAGAAATGCCAGATGGCCTCAGTGTTCTGAAAGACATTAATTCAAATACCGCTGATATGGCAAATAAAATACTTTGCTGACATGCCAGCAAGGTAAGACTGAAAAGTGACCCCTGAATGAAGTCATGTTGAAGTTATCGATTACCTTATAAAGTCATTCAGTGGAGTGGTGTAAGATAAAAGCCATCTAGAAGATTGGACAACACTGTTTTTGTCACAAAAAAAAAAAAAAAAGACATAATACTACCAGTAAGCTAAATACAAATATTTTTTCTAACCATATAGTTTTCACTTAGCCTATTGTGATGAAAGATGATGCTTTTCATACCCTTTGACTTGAAACTCCCAAAAATATTTTAAGGCAGCCACAGAGAGTACATATTTACTGTTACTAATGCCAAACACATAACTTTTTTTCTTCATATGTATTAATTTTTGCAGCAAGTGGTTGTTAATGGGTTTGAAGATATTAGGTAATTGAGGAAATTTTTCATAAGTGATCCACATTAAAAAGATTAACCAGAGGGATGTCAGCAATATGACAGAGTAGGAAACCCTGAAGTACCCTTCCCCACAACAAACACACCAATTCAGCAACAGCATAAGGACAAACTCCCTTTGTGAAAAATCAGAAACTAATTGAAAGTCTCCTGCACCCTGGGAGAATACAAAACCAGAGGTAGTAGAACTTATAGACAGATTCAGAACACCCTCTTGCTGAAGATCCTGCCTCCAACACAGTGCCATATGATCAGAAAGAGACTCACTAGCTCCCAGCTTTACCCAAGGGAGCAAAGGGGGTGGCTTGTCAGCACCCCAGCTTCCCCATAAACTATATGAATACATGTTAATTATGACAACAAAGTTTGTGGGAGAGATAAAATTTAGAATTTTTACATGCTATTGGACTTCAATTGTTAGCAACTTAAACTACTATGAGCTATTTTATGTAAGTCCCAAAGTAACCACAAAAAGTCTGTAGAAGTTACACAAAAAAAGAGAGAGAAAGGAACCAAAGCACATCAATATCAAAGCACAAAATCAAGAAAATACAAAGGAAGACAGGAAGAAAGAAAAAGACAAAGGAACTATAAGAGTAACATGAAAGCTAACAAAATAGCAATAGTAAAACTTTCCCTACCTATAAATACATTAAATGTAAATAGATTAAGCTCTGTAATCAAAGAGTGGCTGAATAGATAAAACACAAGGTGCAACTACAGTTGACCCTTGAACAGCAGGTGTTTTAACTGTGTAAGTTCACTTATACACAGATTTTTTTCAATAGCTATATTAGAAAAATTTTGGAAATTTGCAACAATTTGAAAAAACTTCCAGATGAAACAAGTAGCCTAAAAATACTAAAAAATTAAGAAAAGGTTACATATGCCATGAATGCATAAAATATACGTAGATACCAGTCTATTTTATCATTAACTACCATAAAATACCAGAGATACTATGATCAACCCCTCCTCTTCCTCCTCCTCCATCTACTTAATGTGAAGAAAACAGGATGAACAACTTTATGATGATCCACTTCAACTTAATAGTAAATATATTTTCTCTTCCTTATGATTTTCCTAATAACATTTTCTTTTCTTTTGCTAACTTTATTTTATTGTAAGAATACAATGGGTAATACATATTACATACAAAATATATGTTAATCAACTGTTCATGCTGTTGGTAACACTTCCAATCAACAGTAGGCTATTTATAGCTAAGTTCTGGGGGAGTCAAAAGTTATTAGCAAATTTTTACTTCACAGGGAGTTGGCTCCCCACCCCAATCCCTATGTGGTTCAAGGGTTAAGTGTATATGCTCTCTATCAGAAACTCACTTTAGATTTAAGGAGAATTTGATTAAACAGTGAGTTCAAACGCCTGTTTGGAAGCAGCCATTGTGCTCTCAAGTATGCCAAGATAGAGTCTAAAACTGTACTTGTTATAAAGCTAACCTGGGTATGAAGCTATCTGGGGAGTCCCTCTCTTTGTCAACCCCAGCTCAACAGCAATTCTGAGTTTGGAGACTCTCAAAGTCTCTTTTAAATTGTAACTAAAGTAAGCACAGTGGTTTAACAGAGTTCATATAGCTGATTGTGTTGCATCAAGGCCCCAGGGGGCTGCAAGGGACCTTTGTGACTTGACAAGTTCAACGGTAATGAGTGTGGTTAATGAATAGTACGGCTTATCATATTATCCCAGAATCTGACACGTTTATACAGTTGTTACACATATTTGCAGCACATATTTGGTGAGAAAATGAAATCAGATTTAAGAAAATTGGTGATGAGTAATGGGCAGCAATGAAGGGAGAAAAAAATCCTCTGTCCAAATAAGTTTGCTAAGCATCAATAAACTCAGCAAGCTTCTTTTTCAAAAAATTAAAAAGTTACTTGTTTTGATGTTTCCAAGTGTTAAAATCTGACTAACCAATGGTCTAGGGGGTCGTCTCTACTCTTTTACTATTCTCCAATTAGCAAAATTGTGCATCTTAGTGCCTGGGGACAATCAATTACCAAGAAGCAAAACAACAAGGTGGAGAAAAGATGGACTGCCAGTGGAGACCAAGCCAGTGAGAGGAGGGGATGGATTCAGGAAGGGCAGAAAATATTCAAGTAAGCATTCTTTTTTTTTTTTTTTTTTTTTGAGACAAGCCTTGCTGTGTCACTCAGGTTGGAATGCAGTGGCCCCATCTCGGCTCACTGCAACCTCTACCTTCCGGGTTCAAGTGATTCTCCTACCTCAGCCTCCCGAGTAGCTGGGATTACAGGCACCCGCCACCATGCCCCACTAATTTTTGTATTTTTGGTTAGAGACGGGTTTTCGCCATGTTGGCCAGGTTGGTCTCGAACTCCTGACCTCAGGTGATCCTCCCGCCTCGGCCTCCCAAAGTTCTGGGATTACAGGCATGAGCGACCGCACCCGGCACAACATTTAAAAATAAATAAATAGCCGAAAGTTGGAGTGGGACCCTCTGCCAATAATCACCAGACAATCTTTCTTCTTTGGGAAACCCTGAGTGACAATCAGGGTTAAACAGCCCCTACTTGTCTTATTTCTGGCTGAAGGACCCAGGCCCCAACCCGTCCTCCCCCGCTGGCTCTTCAGTCTGGTCACCTGTATTTTTTGTCCTGCATGTTTACATCGTATTTCTTGAGCTGAAGATATTCCTTCAGCTTCTTCAAATCCCCGACTGAAGCAGCTCTGTGAAGTTTTTTTAAATCCTTTTCTCGAAGGTTGTAGCCCTGGCCTATGGACGGGTCTGAGGAGGTACGGCTGCGCGTCTCATTCTTCCTCTTCCAGAAGCTGAAAAGCTTATTCATGGCGGTGCAGGCTGCAGTCTTTCCGTCAGACCAGGATGTTCCTTGGCCTCCTAGCCGTCCGCCCTGCCACTCTGCCCTAGCACCCGGCCAGCGGCTCTCTCCAGTACCTGACGAAAGTGGAAATGCTGGAAGGGCCTTGCGCAGCCAGCCGTTATGGCAGTTATGGTCGTTATGGCTGTTAAGGTCGTTATGGTCCGGTCCCAGGGGCTCGCAGACCTGCTTTCTCACCTAGGACTTGGGCCTGACAGCCACACCTGCAGTCTTCCTATCTTGGAATAGAAACTTACAAACTTTCTTACAAATAGCCTCTTCTCCTTCAAAAGTAGATCTAAGGGCTTGAACTCTTGCAAACTAATATTTACCTTCCTTGTGATGGGGATGGGGATGGGGATGGGGATGGGGATGGGGATGGGGATGGGAATGAGGATGGGGATGGGGATGGATCTCTTCCAGTGATCTTCCCTCCAACCTACTCCCAGCCTCTCACCTCCCTGGCCACATGCTACAAATTGTCTTCATAATAACTGCAATCCCTCAATAACCTCAATTTCATACACACTTTTTAACACCACTTCTCATATTCCAGCTCATTTTGTCTGGTCACAAAACTCCAAAAGTCCTTTGAAAATCTAACTCACTGCACCTACAGTCCATGAGTCTCATATCCTTTCGCTGGCCTGGACCACCACACCCTGTGTCCTCACTTCACTACTTAACTAAATTCCACAGTCAATCATCATAATCACTCCCATGCAGATACCTTCAATAAGTTTTCCCCCATTCCCTTGCTTACCTATCTGTGCCTAAACCAAAACCCTCATTAAATCTAAACTGTTTGGTCTGCCCTAAGCCACTGAAATGTGACCGAAGGAAAAAACAGTCCTGCCATCATCTTTCATTTCCAGTTCAGGAAAATCCACCTCAAATTGTATGTTATTCTTCCTCTCTCTTCGCACCTCCTTGGTTCATGGCCCTTTTTCTTGATCCATTGAGAAAAAGATCCAGTCAAAAGAGAAACTGTACCTGCTCCCAAGATATCTACCCACTTACCTGCAAAAACAAAACAAAACAAAACAAACAAAAAACCCTTTACCTCTCTCTTGTTCATATAGATGATATGTTTATGTTCTTAGCAAAGGTCAGCACCATTCTTGCATGTACTAGACCCCATCCTCTCTAGCCTATCCAAAAACATTATGCAGTAAACCCTTCTTCCCTGCTTTCATATGTATTTTTAAAGTTTCCCTCTCTGTTAACCAATTCTTATTAGCTTAAATACATGCTAGTATTTGTCTCATCCTAAAAAAACAAACAGGAAGATTGACCACATCTACCCCTGAAATCATCACCGCAATTGCTCTCTTTTGTGGCAAAATTCCTCAGTAGGATTGTCTAAAATGTTATAATCTCTGCTACAATTTTTCTCCTTCTGTTCTCACTTAAAGCAGTTCCCATCATCATCTTTTTGCTCCCATCACTCAAATTGACACTACTTTTAAGCCAGATTGACTATGATGTCTATCACATGAAAGCTAATGGTCACTTCTGAGTTTTCATGTAAATACAGCAGCATTTGACACAGCTGACCATTGCTAACTCCTTGAAACACTTTTTTTTTTTTTTTTGGCTTCCAAGATATCACACTTGCCTGGTTTGATTCCTACCTCTTTAAATACTTTTTCTCAATCCAATTTGTTGGTTCCTCTTTATCTTCAATTATTGGAGAGCCCCAGAATCAATCCACCAACAGCTTTTTTTTATTCTTTATAAATCCTTGGAGACATTCTCAAATTTTATCTTTTATACCTACATTTAGACAGCCAGCAAATCCTGTCAATTGTAGCTACAAAATACATTCAGAATTTTTTTTTTTTATTTTATCCATATTCCCTTCTGGGTTATCACAGTCTTATGGTTTTAAATGGCATCTATATGGTACTGACACTCAAATTGAGAGTTCCAGTCTGGTCCCTCTCCTGAACTCCCAACTGGTATATCCACTTGCCTATTCAATACCTGAATTTGGTTGTTTCTATTGTAGACTCAAAAAACATCTCACTCGCAACAGGTCTAAACTGGTCTCCTGACGTTCCACTCTTACTGTCTTTCCTACTTGAGATCGAGTAATCCTATTCTTCCAGTTGATCAAGGCAAAAGCTTTGATGCCATCCTTGACTTTTCTCTTTCTCGAAGGCCACATCTAATCAGTTAGCAAACCCTAACTGCACTATTTCCAAAATATAAACAGAATTTGACCACTCCTGTCAATGTATCCCAGACTAATATCATCTCTCCCATTTGCATTACCTTGCTTTAATATTTTACACTAGAATCCTGACTGATCTTCATGCTTCTGCCTTCGTACACTTCCCTTGCCCTAGTCTATTGTCAACCTAGCCACCTGAATTATCCAGTTAACATACTGTCAGATGAAGTTAATTATTTGCAAAAAACTCTCCAATCGTTTTTCAAATTCCTAACAGTAAGAGCTAAATTTCTTATACTGATCCACATGGCCCTATGCAATCTGTGACCCCAATCCCATATGCCCTGCCTCCACTTTTACTTTTCTGACCTCAAGTTCTTCTTACCCAAGCTCAAATAGCTTCAATCACAGTGATTTCTTTATTTCCCAGCACACTAGGCATGTTCCTGTCTCAGGGACCCTGACCTTGTTGCTCCCCTTTCCTGGAATGCTGGTCCTGCCACAATAATATAAGCTCTGAGAAGGCAACCATTTTTGTATGCTTTACTCCAGGCTACTTTTCAACTCTCAGAACAGGTCTTGGCACATTAAGTGCTCAGTAAATGTATGTCAAATGAACGGATAAGTATATGAAAAATAGCCTCTGCTTCTGTTTGCCCTTTGAATTCTTGGATGCAATTTTGGGCACAGAACTTTTCCTATGCTCAAACTTTTCCTACTATGGAACAACGCTAAAAACCAGGCTGTAGTATTTAATAAAAAACTTGAGGGTATCAGATGCAATGAGACTACAGAATTTAATGTAAAACTGGCCCATCAGATATGTCTACTTTCCAAGACCCCAGACTCCAGTCCATCTCCATAAGCGCCTCCAGAAGGCAGTGTCCTGGCCATGGGAGACTGCCAGTTCCTATTCTACCCTTAGGGTGCTCCTGAGAGCAGGAATCTTTAAAGAGCAGTGCATAACACTCAAGTGATAAAAAACAGTGATCTGCCGGGTGGGAAAAAAGTATCAGAACTTCTTCATACCTATTTCTACATCTTCCTTTGAAAATAATTTTGTGTGCTCTACAATAGACATGATATATTAGTGCACTGACACATGAACTCATATATTTAGTATGTAAATCAAAAAAATACAATCATGTGCCTCATAATGACATTTCAGTCAACAAGGGACTGCATATATAATTATAGGCCCATATGATTGTAGTGGAGCTGAAAAATTTCTGTGATCTGCTGATGTCTTGGATGTCTTGATGATCCTGATCCTCTGTAGGCCTGGGCTAATGTGCACAATAACTAGACAGTTTAAAAAGTTAAAAAAAAAAATAGAAAAACCTTGTAGAATGAGGATGTAAAAAAAGAAAGTATTTTTTTACGGCTGCACAATGTGTGTTTTAAGCTAAGTGTTACTACAAAAAGTCAAAAGGTCAAAAAATTTAAGTTTATAAAGTAAAAAAATGACAGTATGCTAAGGTTAATTTATTACTGAAGAAAGAAAAAGGTTTTTCTATAAATTTAGTGTAGCCTAAGTGCACAGTGCTTATAAAGTCTACAGCAGTGTACAGTTATGTCCTAGGCCTTCACATTTGCTCACCACTCACTCACTGACTCACCCAGAGCAACTTTTGGTCCTGCAAGCTCCATTTATGGTAAGTGCCCTATATATGTGTATCCTTTTTTATCCTTTATACTGTATTTTTACTGTATCTCTTCTATATTTAGACAGCTTAGATACACACTTATCATTGTGTTACAACTGCCTACAGTATTCAGTACAGTAACATGATGTACAGGTTTGTAGCTTAGAAGCAATAGGCTACACCATATAGGCTAGGTGTGTAGTGGGCTGTACCATATAGGTTTATGTAAGTGTACTCTAGGATTTTCACATAATGACAAAGGCACCTAACAACATATTTCTCAGATAATACCCTGTTGTGAAGTGGCACATGATTGTACCTATGAATGTGTTTTGTTTTGCTTTTCCAAGGCCATCAACTTAGAAAATATGCCCTCGTTCATGTCTTAGAATCTTCTGAGTCCAGCACTAAGAGACTAGTAAATTGTTCTATCATGTGATAAAGACCCGCAACTCAATCCTTCATTTCCTCTTCCAGGATGTCTTTTATTTGGAGGATTGCTTTTTTAAAATCCACTATGTTTAGGGCAATATGCCCTCTGCTTGACAGAACAAGTCATCAGAACACAGGAGTCCAACATCCATATGAGGGATACAAAGACGTATGGAAGGATTCTTTCCCTCAGGAGCTCCCTTCCATCTCTTCTACTTGGAAATAGTCTTTCCTATTTCCAGTACCTTAATTTAATCTCTTTATCTCTTGCCTAGATTACTTCTGTGACCTTTTAAATAGCTTCTGTACCTTCACTTTAAACATCATTCAAACAGTGGTGAGCTGGAGGTCATTCATATCATACCTAGGGTTAGATTGCTAAATATACAAGAACTGTTGGAAGCTTACACTCAGAAATGAGAGTATTTACATAATGAAAATAGGCGGCCAGTCTCGGTAGCTCACGCCTGTAATCCCAGCACTTTGGGAGGCCAAGGCTGGTGGATCACGAGGTCAGGAGATCGAGACCATCTGGCTAACACGGTGAAACTCCATCTCCACTAAAAGTACGAAAAAATTAGCCGGGCATGGTGCTGGGCCCCTGTAATCCCAGCTACTCGGGAGGCTGGGGCAGAAGAATGGCATGAACCCGGAGCTTACAGTGAGCTAAGATTGCACCACTGCACTCCAGCCTGGGTAACAGAGCGAGACTTTGTCTCAAAATAATAGTAGTAATA